AAAGCAGAAGTATTTTATTTACACAGAAAGTGTGCGTGCCCCATCTAAAAAGGAGATACTGAAGAAACTGTCAGCAAAGCCTCTAAGATGTCATGCTAGTAGTTTTCTAGGCTTTTTATGATAGTTTTTCAAGGTTTTTAATAAGATGTTAGGTAAAGTAACTAGTACTAGCGTATAACACGGTGATATGCTACTTTTAGTGACTTCAACTACATGCTTTGAGCAAACAATGAGATACTTTTTTCCCAAGCCTATTTGGACTCACACTATTGCATTGCATAATGGTAGTTTAATCTTTTTCGTGAAGAAGCCAGGTTTGTGCTATTCATAAATGAATGATCGTGTAACTGCTGATTTTTCTTCAGCTATAATTTTAGGTATTACACAAAGCAAACAGACAGTGTAATGATTGACAACAGACCGTGCATGGTATACTATATCCCAGTTCAGTTTTGGACGGAAGTGGAATCAGCTGCATGGAATTTGCAAAATGTAGCTACGTCACAAAGTGACGCAAAATAATGATTTTATAAAGGAATGGCGGCTGTGTTGTTTCACTCTTATAACAGTCTTGCTGCTGCTAATAAGCAGTACAATAGCTGCTGGAGTCAACTATTTTTTATAAAGGCCATCATTATCAGAAAATCTTGCTCTATTAACTTTTAAAAGAATTATCAGTTTGGGCGCTTGACTACATGTGCTTATGTAAACTATGACATCATGAAACGTCATTGCGGTTAGCTTTGGTATGCCATTGGGTTTATAGGGAGAACCCGGTTCTTAGGGTTCCCAAAGGTTGAGAGACCCAAGGTTTCACAGATTTTGATGGACTTTGGCGACTAAGAACCTGTGAAAGTTTCATCCTTATCTTATTTTCCTATAAAAAGTTATTCCAGTTTTTCTTGTCCCAAACTCAACTGGGATATAGTATATACTATACTTGTGTAATAATAGACAATAAAACATATTTTATATTATTCTATAATTTATAGATCATCAATATTATCATGTTTAAAGTCACTTATTACTTCAGCTTTCAGATTGTCATCACCCCTTAAGATTTGGCACTATCTGATGAATCATTAACTGTTGTGTCCAGTGGTATTTGAGTTGGAATGTTAGATTAACTGCTACAATAACAACCTGAACCACACTATGATTTTCTTTTACAGCCACAACTAATTGTATTGCATCCCTTTTTACATTTACATCCTTGTGTCATTTGACCCATAGACTGGCTAATCATTAATTTTCTTGTTTATTCCGGTCCTCCCAATCTATGCAATAGATGTCATCTTTTAACAACCAGCCACTCTGTTGCGGTACAGGTAATGATGCATATACATCATCTCGAGCAGTAGCGTTACTCCACAATTGACAAATGTAAGTAGTACGTAGCCAATGGTGATGTAATGCAGTGATTGATGGCATTCTGTCCTCTTCTGAAATTATTCTCTTGCAGTTGATATTTCGAATTTTGTAAATGAATACTTCAGCCTTGCCACAACAGTCATATTTTTTTCTTTTTAGTACTCTGGTAATTCGAAGCTATATGCTGAAATATATGAAGCAAGATGCCTCTTGAAGTATAAAGTACCAACTAGTGGTAGAAATGAAAGAAAGCCACTTTCTCTTGCTTCATTTGTAAAATCAGACAGTGATCCTTCTATGCTTGGAGCAGATATAAACCTGCAACTCGTAAACAAAGTATTGAAAACAGTTGCTTTAGCAATATTTCTGAAGTGAGATGTGTAGTCCGAACCGGTAGATAAAAATAGAGAGTAAAGATGCTTGGTATTTTGAAGACGGTGGACAAGACAGATCCATATCATTTTCAAAAGCATTTAGGAACTGTTTTAGCTTTAAGTAGCCCTTCCATTGAGTTAAAGGCAAATTTGCTAAATGATGTATTTTTGCTTGTGGTTATTAATAGCTGTAATCCGATAACTGATGGGTCTGTAACTGGTGAGTAAATGAGTACACTTTGGCCATCACAGTATGCAGCATGCCTCCAAACTCTCAAATCAGCCTCTTCTGAATTTGTATCATAACCTGGCTCTGGTTGAGGCAGACCTTTGCTATTTGATGAACTTAGCCATGCCCATTTATCATCTTGTTTAGCCAGAATTGGCTTTCTTTAATAAAAAGTTGCCAAAAATGTTACTAAATTGTATTTGCATGTCCTACACTTCAGTAGTTCTTGCCATGGCTTGTCAATGTTGCAGTTATTCAAATGTAACGTGTATGATGACTAGGAATACTGTCTCTTCTCCAGTTCAAACTATTTTGGTTTGCATTTATGACTGCCTCTTTTCCACTTCGAAATATATTGCTAGTCGCTGTGATACCATGCTTGACATATTTCAGCATATAGCTTGGAATTACCAGAGTACTCAAAAGTAAAGAATATGACTGTAATGGCAATATTCAAAATTCCATAAATAGCTTGTTTACCTCACAACATAATAATAACATTGCTATTTATTGTCCGTATAGTTAACATTGCACAAGTGCATGGGTGTGGCAAGTAAAAAATTATTTAATTTGACCACTAGCATCTCGGATGGCCAGACATTATTTGATTTAGTAGGCCATCCATTAGAAGAATATGAAGTTCTGGATTAGGCAAGTGATTAGAAGCTATAGAAACCTCATTTAGTTTTCATTGTTTTTTTCTAATGAAAAGGGTAAGTAAAATATTGCACCTTTAAGAGCCTTTAATGAATTATAAGTAGCCACTTTTAAGGTGTGCCTAACAATTGTCTGAAAAAATTTGGGTCTTTGTATTAACTGGCAACTCAATGGATCCAAATTTTCCAATTCTTTGTGTAGTAGCCCTTCCTTCAACACTCAATGTGATGGAAATTTATTTTTCCTAATAAGACGTTTACATGATTACGAATATGCATAACTTTATTTAATGCTGCAGGATCATTCCATGTAATGTATTGTAATAGAATATTCCAAATATCGCCATCTAAATTTTTAGTTTCAGTGAGACTTTTTTCTTAGACGCCTGTCACAGCTACAAGGAATACAGTCGATTTAACTTCCTTTTGAACATCCCATGTGTGCGTGCGTGTCTCTGTAAAGAGATCATGTGATTTGTTAAAGTGAAAATGTTGTGTGAGTGAGGTAGGGAGAAGGCATATGCAGTTGATTTAAGGCACAGGATAATTTGGCAGCATTTTGGAATGGAGCTCTCTATCAGATCTATTGCATATCAACTTTGTGTAACAGTTGGAACAGTCCATAACACATGCAAGCTTTATGAAAAGACAGGAGGAGTTCAAGGTCCAACTAAAGTGAACCGAAGTGCAACTCGCATATTGTCACACAGTGACGAGCTTGCTGCTATTAGTCTTTTCTTGACCCAACTTACTATGTATCTTCAAGAAGTCAGTACTGAAATTTTTAAAATTAGTAGGAAAACTGTAAGCTTAAGTACAATTTGTCGTTTATTGCACAGGCATGGATTAACAAGAAAAAAAGTTCGGATAGTAGCTTTGCAAAAGTCATATGTCTTACGAGGAGATTTTATGGCTGAAATTTCTTTTTTTCTGTTCTTCAACTTGTATGGGTAGAAGAAACTGGTTGTGACAAAAGGGACTTTGTTCAAAAAATGGGCTATGCTCTTAGTGGAGAAAGACCAGTTTCAAAAATCATTGTGAGTAGAGGAAATAGAATTTCAGCCATTGCAGTTATGTGCTCAGATGGATTGATTGCATTGGAACTAGGAGGAGAAACAAATAATGGTGAGAGGTTCTGCAATTTTCTAACAGGAGTACTGATACCACAAATGTCCAAGTTTGATGGATCTTGTTCCAAATGAGTTTTAATAATGGACAATTGTAGTATACATCATGTGACACAGTCCAACAAATACTTTCAGAAGCTGGTATTTTGTGCATATTTCTCCCACCTTACAGTCCAGATATTAATCCCATTGAGGATCTGTTCAGCTACATTAAGTATTACCTCAAGCATCATGATAATATATTAAATGTATTAACAGATCCCAAGCAATTA